TATTCTGTATTAGTTTCAGGTGTACAGCATAGTGGTTAGACAATCATATACCTCATGGAGTGGTCCCCCTGATATTTCAAGTACCCTCCTGTCCCCATACGTAGTTATTACAATATTATTGACTATATTCCCTAGGCTGTAATTTATATCCCCGTGATTATTCTGTAACTACCGATCTGTGCTGCTTAATCCCTCCGCCTTTTTTACTCAATCCCTCAACCCGCCTCCCCTCTGGTAACCACCAGTCTGTTCTCTGCATCTATGAGTCTGTTTCTATTTCGTTTCTTTATTTTGTTCTTTAGATTCCACATATAAATGAAATCATATGGTATTTGTCTTTCTCTATCTGACTTATTTCACTTAACATCATACCCCCTAGGTCCATGCATGCTGTTGCAAAAAGTAAGATTTCATTCTTTTTTTATGGACAAGAGGTATTCCCAAGTGCCCTCAACAGTGAGTGGGAAACATAAAATTTTCCATCTTCATCATTTTTAAGTGCACAGTTTAGTAGTGTTTGGTAGTGCATAGTCTAGTTCACATTGCTGTGAAACACATCCCCAGAACTTTTGCGTCATGCAAAACTGGAACGTTGTGCCAGTTAAACAACTCCCATCCCCTCTTCACCAGTCCTGGCGACCTCTGCTCCACGTGGTCTCCATGAGCTGGGCTACTCTCAGTGCCTCATGCAAGTGAAGCAGACAGACTCGTCTTTTTGTGACTGGCTTATTTTACTTAGCGTAATGCCCTCAAGGTTCATTTATGTTGTAGCATGTGTCAGGATTTCATTCCTTTTTAATATAAGTAGGGTGGGCCAAAAGTGGGTTTACAGTTGTTCATATGGAAAATAGTACAATTAATAAATAATAACACAAGAATAAACTCTCAGTTTCAAGGGCTCACAACTGTAAACTCACTTTTGCCCCACCTGCATATTATGTGGTGTAATGTATACTACCTTTTGTTTACCCGCTTATCTGCCAATGGACAGATATTTTTGGATGTTTGGATACTGTAAATAATGCTGCTAGGAATACGGGTGTACAAATATTTCCTCAAGACCTTGCTTCCAACTCTTTTTGTGTATACCCAGGAGTAGAATATCTGGATCATATGGTAACTCTGTCTTTAACTTTTTGAGGACCCGCTGTAGTGTTTGCCACAGCAGCTGCACCACTTCACATTCCCACCAACAGTGCACAAGGGTTCCAGTACCTCCACAGCTCATCAACACTTGTTACGCTTTTTTAAAATAGTATCTATTCTAATGTGTGTGCTCAGGTAGGGTGTGAAAAGGTAAATTTATTCCATTGTCCTTTATTCTAGGGTTATGTCTTTTAATACTTTTTTTAAAGGTTAAAATATCCTTTCTTTCATCAAATGATGGCAATCATAGATTTTATACTATAAAATATACTATTTTATATATATATTCTTACATGGAAAAATTAGAAGTTGGCATCAGTGTGTCAGTCCCTGCAATTAAAAGAAAACATTCAGACCATGCAATCCAAGTCTAGAAACCTATTTGGCAAGGAAGAGCAGTAAGTACACTAACAGTTGCTTGGGGTAAGAAGAGAATGTGTTTTTGTTTTTTTTAATATATTTTTATTGATTTCAGAGAGAGGAAAGGAGAGGGAGAGAGAAAGATAGAAACATCAATGATGAGAGAGTCACTGATTGAGCCCACGACCTGGGCATGTGCCCTGACCGGGAATTGAACCCCAATCGCCTGGATCCTAGGTCAACGCTCAACCGCTGAGCCACGCCCGGCCGGGCAGAAGAGAATGTGTTTTAAGAACAAAAAGAAAGAAAATAAATTGATCCTATCATAGATGCAACAGAGACACAATAACATCACCTAGCTCAAAGCCAATGCCACTAACTTTAATCTAAGAGGGACAGCAGATGGATATCAGAGGCGGTAGAGCAGCTCCCTACCATCCCCACCCCATTCCAGTGAGGCCAGGAGTTGAGAATGGATGCAACAGAAATAATGATCTATTCAACTAGACATATTTTATATTTTCTGTCACTTCATACTTATCTTTAGGTGTTTTCTCATTTAAATAATTTATAGAAAACTGAATTCTTTATATAAAGCGGCTAATAACTACCTTGGAATTTGTTTCAGATCACAGGAACTGAGGGGAAACTGCTCATAACAGATGCATCAGAAATGCTGTGCTGCACAGAGCGACCCCACAGCAGAGGCCTAGAAACAACCAGCTGGTGCACAGTGTTCAAGATCTCAGATGTTCCCTATTGTAGACCCAAGACCATCAAGTTTCTGGACCTTGTTCATACTTCTTAGCACCGAGAGAGAGAGAGAGAGAGAGAGAGAGAGAGAGAGAGAGAGGGAGGGAGATGTCTGATTTTATATGACAAATTAACAAGGGATTATATCACAGCATCGATCAGAATATCCAACCCAGGTAATATAAGTGATATGAAGCCTTATATTAGTGGCTGGCTTTTGAACAGATAAGAATGTGAAAAGATGAATTGGTGTGTCCTTTAAATGTCATTACCTTGAAGCCATAAACACATTTTAACGATTTCTGAACACATCCTTTGGAATGATTCCCCGGGCAGTAAATCGCCATGCATTCAGGATGGACGTGATTTCCGGAAATAACTGAAAGTGATTCACAGCCGCATCTGGTGACGATGATTGGGATCATGCGGGGAAATGCTAGTGTCATCAAAAAAAGAGATATGGCTACAAAGTAATAGAGCTGATATGTAAACCTTTCTGAAGGCAATTCCAAAGGAGGAATTCTGGAAATATTTTGAGCAACGGAAGCATGATTGGTAAAAGTATATAGGTGTCCAACTTGACTACTCTGAAGGAAAAACTACGAGTTTCAATTCTGCTTGAATATTTGGAAAAAAACAAAACACAAACAAACATTGCTTTCCAAGGACATCTCATTCTCTTGGGATGCCTAACACAAGCTGGTCACCCCCAGCCATGCCTTGGACCACACTCTGGTTTTCTCTGCCTTGCAGAGTCTTTATTTAAAATACTCTGAATATTTAAATTGGGAGATTAAAATTTTTTTAAAATCTCAATTACTGACTAATCATGGACAATGAGCAGAATTGTGCTGTCACTGTTGGGTATGCTCCGTAGCCAGACTACCTGATCTGAACCCCAGCTCAGCCACTTTTTTTTTAAATATGTCTTTATTGATTTTAGGGAGAAGAAGGGAAAGAGAGATAGAAACATCAGTGATGAGAGTCATTGATCGGGTGCCTCCTGCACGCCCCCTACTGGGGGTCGAGCCCACAACTGGGGCATGTGCCCTGACTGGTAATGAAACCGTGATCTCCTGGTTCATGGGTTGACACTCAACCACTGAGCAACACCGGCCGGGCAGCCACTTTCTTGTTTGACCTTCAAGTTACTAACCTCAGTGCCCTTGCACTGGGAGTAAACTCAAGTTACTTTCCTCATCGAAAAACAGGGATAGTAATAGTGCCTCCAGCATAGGGTTACTGTGAACCTAAAATGAGATAATCAATTTGTCTCAAGAGATGTCAGCTGTCATCTGGCAACACTGCACTCTCTTTTCTGCAGGAGCTGAGCAGTGGCCGCCCTGATTAGGGGCAAACATCGTCCGATTTGACCCAGTTCCCACCTGAGCCACTTCATCATTTCCAGGACCTGCTTGGCTCCCGTGGGCATTTGCAGTCTACAGGCCCCACCTCAGAATCATGGATCCGGCCGAACAGCCACATTTTGCGGCAAAGAATTACCTCCCGATCCCAAAGGGAGCCCATGGTAGTGCTCACTGCTGTGCAGGGCCATTGCTAGTGCGCCTTGCATGGTCCCTATAACCTCGGCCTGCTGCAAAGGCCCTCCCTTCGTGCTCTAGAGAATTACAGCAGAGCAGGCCACAAAATCACTCACAAGGCACGCAGCCTTGCAGAGCAAATGGAATTTCTTCCCTTCATCTATAACTGATACTCTTCCTAGGACAGCAGGAATAATTTAGACTTGCCAATGAAAAATATTTATATCTCTTCCAATCTAAATTGTCTTCTTTCTGTTTAAAGTTTTAGTCTGTTGAAAATTAATTGAAGCCTCTATCGGGACTGCTTTAAGCAGTGTCATTGGAATGACTTCACGTCTCTGGTTCTTGTCTTGTCTCCATTCTTTGCCTCAGGTAGGTGTCTGGGTGTATGAGGGCGACACTCTGTCTTTGAGGCTTTGAGGAGACAGGGTCCTCAAATCAGGCTTTGCAGGAGGCGTTCCTGGGCTGCACAAATGGTGCTCATTGTCACTGTCTAGCTGTCACTTGTCTAGGTTTTGTCAAGGTCTGGTGACCTGACCAAACTGGCCCACTCACTGGGCTCTCACAAACACTGGGTGTCACACACACACATACCGTCTCTAAAGCCCTGCACTGGGGGCACCCAGCCCCCTCTCTATGATCCNCCACACACACACACACCCCGTCTCTAAAGCCCTGCACTGGGGGCACCCAGCCCCCTCTCTATGATCCTCTTTGACAAGGTCCCAGACAAGCCTTCAGCTAACCTCTGTACGTGCTGCCTGAGCCTGGGTCCCTAGAAAAACAGTCTGCAGTAAAATGTAAAAGCCAGTGTACGACTGGTAGAGGGATTCCAGGGAAATCAGAGAAGAAAAAGGTAACTGCAGGAGGGGACAAGGGAATGCAAATACAAGAGGACGCCCAGGGAAACTCAGGCCGGGGACACCCCTGGAGAGGCTGCGTGGATCACTGAGGCTTAGAAAAGCCCGAGGCGGGAGGGGGTAGAGGGCAGAGGAGGAAGGCTGCGGAGTGCATCTGCTGGCTTCTTCCCGGTTCCTGCCTCTCCCTTTTCAAACTTCACCCGCCAATCAACTCTTCTGTACTTCTGCGTTGTGTCCCCTGTCCCTCTGGGCAGCACTGAGAGAAGCCAAATCCCTGTCAAATGGTGCTGCATCTGAACTTGAAAATCCTGGGGCTCCGGCTTCAATTGCAACGGTTCCCTTAGGGGCCACCCTGCACACAGTTAGAGGCTGAGGCCACCAGCACAGCTTGGGCCAGGACCATGCTGCTGCCGGCTGGGCCGGCCAAGTCGTCACAGTCACTGCCCAAGGTGCCTCCAGTGAGTAAAGAGTGGCAGAGGTTGGAAGGGCCCAGAGTGGGCGCAGCAGCCCCGTGACAGCCCGTGAGCGCGCGGCCAAGGGAATCTGCAGAGGCAGGAACATTAGGGCCAGTGCACCCCCTCCCGGTCCCTGCAGGATGGCCTGGGTCTGAGCCACACCACAGCTGTACAAAGAGCAGCCTGGAAAGCTAACCTCCAGCCCCCCACCTCCTAACTGTGCTGCACCACTGAGCCTGCTTGGCTCTGCTGGCCCCAGGGCAGTGGGGGGGGGG